GAAAACAGATGAAGAAAAACCCAAAAAAGTTGTTATTCACGTAATCAAACCTAAGGACACAGATGAAGAAGCAAAAAAGGAAGCGAAGGTTGTCGTTCGTGTAGTCAAACCAAAGAAAACAGATGAAGAAAAACCCAAAAAAGTTGTTATTCACGTAATCAAACCTAAGGACACAGATGAAGAAGCCAAAAAGGAAGCGAAGGTTGTCGTTCGTGTAGTCAAACCAAAGAAAACAGATGAAGAAAAACCCAAAAAAGTTGTTATTCACGTAATCAAACCTAAGGCAACGACCGAAGATAAACCCAAAAAGCAAGTGAAGGCACTTGTCATCACGACGGACTAGAAATCAAGTAGTATGAGTTCTGTATGGGTGGGCGTGGCCCATGACATTCAATAAATCTTGATATGTGATATGTAAGCGTTTTTCACAATGATATTCTGCTCAAGACTATCGATTTATAGTTTTTATATGGATACCAGATTTGATGCCAGAAACACACTGGTGAGCAAAGCCTAAGGATGAAGGTAACTTAGGCATGAACCATTACTGCCTAGTAACGTAACTCGACGAAATCTGTAACACACATAGAAAGAACTGCCACAGTCACTGCAGAGGGTTTCTAACCGGAACAGGCTTTCAGGAGAACAGATTCACACTTTTCTTGTGAAGGGAACCACATCGCAGTTACCGCGATTAGTGATGTCGAGGACCCACACATCACGGCGTCACTGGTTGGTGGAGGGAGGAGTGGGAAGGACGTATCTCGGTGTATTTGGACTAAACATGGAAAAACGAAGTGTAGTGCTGTGAGATGCGTCCGAGGTGGCGGTTGCGAACAGGCTGGTGTCAGTATTTCTCTCAGTTCTTTACACTCGCCTTGCCTTGGCAACGGGTCATTCTTCTTTGTAAGCTCGTCTACCTCCCGATTATGCTCAGCTCCCTTCCCCTCTTCTCCCTTTCCAGCGATACCTTTACATTCATTCTAGGCGTAATAACCACATCCGTGTAGCCATGTAACATGCTGCAGAAACTCCGGTCAGGAACAAGATGAAGTCTACCACACTCTTTCTCGCAGTGAAGCCAATGATCGCGATCGCCGGAGGGCGTTGCGAATGTGATGACGTCATTGAATGTCATTGGTGGAAGGGCGTTGAAAGGGGAGAGGGGTCCCTACCCCGGGAGACGGTCAAGAGTTCCCCCGCGACCGCCGCGCCAAAACTAGGTCACCGCGCGCGACGTCGCCGGTGTTTCTGCAATTTGCCGAGTTCAGGACCCCTCTCCAGACGATCGATACAACGCTTTCCTGTTCCCTCTGTGTAGGCCCCATTCCTGCATTTGTTTCAGCTTAGTCCTAGCAACTTGATACGTTTCAAGCTGGATATGGTAGATAGCCGCCGCGTGCGGTGACCTACTTTCGCTTGCGCGGCGACCTCAGGGGGACTCTTGTCTCGCATCCCCCAACCCCTCCCCAAGCTCACTGGCAGGTCTGGTCGACCACTGACCAAAGATGACATCATAACAGAAGCGCTACCGTCCGTCGTGATCACTGCCTCCAACAATAACCACTCTCCATAAAACTTCAACTGACCCTTCGCCGTTCGTTTCAATACCATTCGATACGGCCCTTGTGCCTTTCGGGTGAATCACAGTGACTGTCCAATTAGCTTTATAGTTTGGTTCGTCTAGACATGGCACCATTCGACGGGCATCTGTTGGTTCCATTTGAGAGGCTGCAGCAATCCTGAAAAAACAACACTTAAGCAGTGCATCTGGACGACTGCGCAATTTTCTGAGAAGGAAGTATTCTTTTATTCTTCATTGTACCGTCTGTAACTGTCGACTAACACCAACGGTCAAGCGCAATATTAAAATAATGAACACTGCCAACGACCGAGAGGGTAGCACTTAGAACTCGGTGGTAATAAAGAATTGGGTGGACGGAACGAAGTGGCTTGGGTGCAGTAGACGTTTTTTTTTTGGACGAAAGGGGGTGGCGTCAAACTGGCGCTAAATGGCTCCAGCGCCAAGAACAGTATAACATTCGCATTTTCAAGAGCTAGACTTACGCACAGGTACAAAATTTTTGCCATGTTGAGGTTTTGAACTGACCTCAAAGATGTGATATAATATCATGCAGTATCGGTCGAAAGGAATTCCGTTGAAAAAAAAACTTGTGATAACAGCATCAATAACTTGTCTTGTGATCTACCCTTTAAGATCCTGGCTGGATTGAAGTATCTCCGACTCGCACTTGGGGTCACACAAAGTGAGTAAATTTCAAGCATGATGTTGGCTTAAAGGCACAACCCAGGCAGAGTTCGTGTGAACGCTTCTCTTCGGTCTGTAGTATAGAACCCTAGAGGACAATCACAATGTGGCGTTCCTCGTGCACGGAAACCGACCGATAAGAGCGCTTGGGCCTTGCAAAGTAAGCTGCCCAAGCTGCAGACTTTTTTTCTTATCAGGCTGTTGTCTGGCGCTCTCTCATCTGTAGCGCTCTCGCCCATACTCTCCTCTCCGCGCTTAGTCTCTCATTCCCTTAGCACAGCCGATCAGGAAGGTGAGTGAGCCCTTAACCTAAGCGTTTTTGACGGATTCTTTTCCTTTTTTCTTTACTGCCGGCCCACTTCCCACCAGTACAATCACATTCGTGCACATGGGCCACACCAATGTGATCCTGGGGTAGGCCTTTAACAATTTATATCACACCGACTTTTGAGTGGTACTTTGCTATCAGTTTTCGGCCAACGGGACGCGATCAAAAAACTTAAACGTGACTTTGGCTATACTGGAAACCGGTCAAACTCACTTGGTGGTCCCATCCGTGTGTGTATAAGTGGCTTGGTACAGTCCACCTAGGGTGTTGCTAATAAGGCCAGTGTAGATTACCTGGAATTCATTTAGTAAACAGAGGTGTAGAATTATCTGCGAAATTTTCCAACCTTGAGCAAAACTTTTTGATCCTTTTGTAACCGCTTCTTCAACAGGAATTCCAGCTTCTCTAGCCGCTCATGCTCCATCACACTTTCAATTTCCAGTTTTTCATCGCCCTGAAATTTTCGCTAAGAACTCATAGTGTGGATCAGATTAGATTTTGATTCAGATACCAATCATGCTCTCAATTTTCAGGACGGTCGAAATGATCGCAGACTTTCTTGTATTATAAAAGCAATTTCATCTGATATTCGGATAATCAGACATGTTCAGACACTGGCCAGAAATTTCATCGGATATCGTTTCACAAGATTCGTGAAGAATCCTAGTAGTGCACGCATTTCTGCCCGGAGGTACAATACATGGCGCATTTTGAGACTGGGCTTATAGTTGAAGTGATTAGCGCTCGCTTCCTTGTATTTTCTCTGAAATAACCTCTAGTCCTTAAGATGCGCAGCCCTAGGGTACCGTTGAGGCCAGTCTACTGTATATACATTTTCCAGCGCACGGTAATTCGAGATGAGGCTTTCTGGTATTCAAACGGTTTTGACGGCATTCCTTACAAAACCGTGTTTTTGCAAAATCCGATACTGAGTGACTACTACCATAATGCCGAATTACTCAGTGATATGGGGTTTCGAAAATTAGAAAACGACAGTGAGGAGTTCCACTAGATGCCGTGTTTATGGCACAACATAATGCCTACCATAGGGCTCGAGTCATATGCGTATGTGTTATCTCAGAGACGGAGCACTCACAATCCAGTTCTGGCTGATCTATGTGTATATGCCCGAGCAAAAAAGTAAAATCTCATTGATAACTTGCATTTTTCTTCTGAAAGAATGAAGCTCTCCGTTCATCGCAGTGCTCTTTTCGATTGTGGCCCTTCCGACTTAATTTTATCCCTTGTTTTCAACATCCAAATTCTTTTCTCGAAGCAGGGTTCGTCTCTTCTAGTATATGGGTTTGATTTGGGTTCCTTATACAGGGCCAAAAATATACGATCGGCATCGAGCAAATCAAATCTGGGGTACGCCACGCATTCTGCTTCCATCCAGGGTCATAGTGGCATTTGAACGCCATGGCGCCATGGTGCTCATGAACGAAAGCGAGACGTAGGTACTGGGCTTTGTACTTTCACGCAAGTCGGCGAACAAAGTCCGTGACCTGGAGGGGAGTAAGGCTTGTTGGCCCAAGCGAGACTTGGTCCTGGATTTGACCCTCTGAGCATATGCGTGCCATGCTGAGCCAGGCACACGAAATCTGCACGGTATTTTGCATATTGAAACAAAAATGAAGCTCACCGAAAACACCTCGCATTTCTCTGGTATCACAGTGATATTCTTCGCATTCAGTACAATACTTCTGGTTGGTTCCACACTACCATGGAGATTTCCACTTGTCCATCAAAGGTGAGATTCTTCTCTGGCGGAAAATCCACGTAGTTGGGCATCGATACTTTTGAATGCTCAAGTCGTATAGCACTGAAATAATGAAAATAACTAATATATATAGCATACAATTCAGCCTGGAATTCACTTTATTTGTGAGGCACTCCTTGACCAGTTTTGGCGTTTTCAGAGGTGTGTAGAAGTTGGACCAAAAAAGGGACATTTTTTACATTGAACGCGCCAATGAAATTCATTTGTATACGGCGATTTTAAGAGAGAAATTATAGATTTCCAGAACGGAATTTGCATTTTCGAAGTGGCGTAAGGGGCAGTCCAACAGTTACGTTAAAAAAGAATAATGCGCCATTTTTGCTTTTCCAGAAGGCGCTACGCTTATCGCTTTCACTCGAAGGCGTAGTGGAATCCAGAAAGTATTTAGTTTGCAATGGGTCGGCGATGTGCGAATCAACGTTACTCCTATCATCTTAGACTAATCTGCTTAAAATTGATCCCCACTTGAGGAATAGGAGCCCTTGGTTAGCTTGATTAAGATTCAACCCATTTGGGCTTCCGAGCCGTATGTGACCGCACTATCTAAGCTCTCAAGGCGAATGAGGAATACCGAAACGTTCTTCTGAAACGCCTCTGTCTTTAGATTAAGCAGCAACATTTTACAGCAGGCTCTCAGAAATTGGTGGTGATAGAAACCAGTTAAAAGTAAAGGGATCGGCTATAATTGCTCGTCTCCACGTTTTTAAAGCAGTCAGGGCCCAAGGGAGCCAAGTTCTTGGCTCTCCTTTTCTATACCGTAAAGTAACAATAAAATAATAAGATAGAAATCTCTTTGTCGTGCTCAGGTGAGATTGAGCTGGTGGATATTCGATCTCCTAGAGCTACTTACTGTTTCTACGCAAAACAACAGTAAAATATAATGGCAAGGCATAGTATCGAGGAATAGCTTCTGGTACTAAAGCTCCATTAGGCCGATGTCAGACTTTGCGAATCGCGCGATTCGCTAGCGTCTGCGGTCGCGTCGCGGCCAGTGAATCACTCAATTGGCTGGTACCGCAACGCGACCGCGGACGCTAGCGAATCGCAATCTGACATCGCCGTACCTTCGTATAATGTGGCTCTGAAAGCGCTCCGTTACTCGGCTCTGTGAACATTTAAGCGATCACAAGGAGACTACAGTACTTACCATGCGTAATTACAACTTTTCGGAAGACGTAGTTCTTCTGCAGAAGGAGAATTGTCATGACCTCCAGGGTGATCCCTGAAAGAATCGATAAGGAACTTCAAGTATTTTTTTTGATTTTTCGGGAATTTTCTCGGGTTACTTCGAAAGACTTACTTTCCATTGTGTGAGGTGTCATAAGCATTTCGCACGAAAGTGATAAGTGAGACCTATGGAGAGAGCGATTGCTAGAGCCATTGCTAATGAAGCGATGAGAAGGCTGATGGGCGTAAACCGTAACACTGTCCTTTTAGCCCATTGTGCTGTCATCTAAATGATCGTATAAGATGTGGTCAAAGTACGATTAAAAACGATAAGTTATCGAGTGAGCGCGATATGAGGGAACACGGAATCCGAAAAGCTTGAGACTCCTTGCGTAAATACGAGCCAAAAGAATGGTCCCTGAACAATCAGACGGTTCAAGGTGGAAAACGTGATCTCGGACTTTTTGGCATCAAATATGTATTGAGGAAAAGAAGGAGATGTTGTGAAGAAGACGATTAAGCACTCGTAAACAAGGTAAGGATGAAACTCTGTACAGAACACGATCAATACGACACATTAACAAACATAGCGGAGAGCTGGTCGAGCTAGAAAAAACCTCTTGCAGTCATGAAGATGAAAGCGCACGGCACATCTGGAAGATAGTTGATTAATGGCATAACATGCCTGTTTCGCAGTTTACATGAGGCCCCTCACCCCTCACTAACTGACCCTAGCTGGCTTCACGCCATATTCGGGAGTTCGCGAAGTTATAGGTGAGTGGTTGTTAGCAGGTTACATACCATAAACACATAAACGCTAACGCTACACAGGCGACGCCTTCAACCATGGGAGGGTGGAGGAGGTGTGGGCCGGGGAAGGGGAGATCCTACTGACCAAAATTCCCTCTACAAATGGCTTATCCTACCTCCAACCCCTCGTTCACATCGCAGAAAGTGGGTCGCGGCCAACTTGGATGCAGGGATCGTTAGTGTCGGCAGTATTGGTGCCCTGAGGGTCTATGACAGTATCCGTTCTCTGAGTTCAGAGTAGGACGACTCAACGGCAGAATAAGTGCTAATGATATCAGCACGAGACAAACCAGTTCCCAGGTTTGAGCCTAATCACGTGAACGTACTGCGAGGGAATAGCTGCGAGATCCTCTGATGGATGTTAGTGGTACTATGTCAAGAAATATGTAGACAGGGTGGCACTGTGGAAATGTAGTAATGCACTAATAGAGATAAAGCAGTAACCCAACATAAAAAATGTTGTGTGGGCACTCGTGAAATGGCTGATAAGAGAGTAAAAAGATTTAACAATCTAAGCAAAGCACAAATTTGAAAAATATAGAAAAAGAGGGCTGAAAAAACCCGGCGGCGTAAAATACAAACAGGACTCAACAAATATCAAAAAGGTAGAAGAAAGGGAAAGATTAGAAGTACGGAAAAGCATAACGGTGATAAACTTGAAGAAGGATGTGCCATCAAATAAAACCTCCAATAGGAAATTAGGAGGGATGAGATGAGCGTGTGTTTGTTTTATACGAGTGAACATAGAATTGACATAGAGCAATAGAAAAAGTGGAGATCCTCCAGTAAAAATGTGATCAATAGATGAAGACAACTTCATCTAAGTTCAACTTTCGATGAATCCTAGCCTAGTACTCGGCTTATATTACTTCAAAAAACCCAAAAGTCCCCTATACAATTCCACCTCAGAATGAACCCGCTTGGGAGAGTGAGCGCTGACAGTATGGAGCAAATTTGAAATTAAAATTGGAAAGCCATTTATTTTGCAAAAAAAGTCGCTGTGAACAAAAATGTGTGCGTCTTCCCGCAAGCGGGCAACTATGGAGTTTTGGGGCACTTCAAACTTTGGCAAAGAAATAGTGGTTGAAGGAAGGAAGATTGTGGAGCATTGCTGGTAAGAAAATATTGACCAAAAAATTTCTTTATTGCTTCCTCCACCTGTAATTTAGTGTCGACAAGGAGAACGTACATATTGTCTTGTGTTTACAATCTATTCCAGGATGGTATTTACGTTTCGTAGGCCAAAAAAAGTGAACCGAAAACTCCGGCTGGTAGCACCGACAACGCGATCGCGTACGCTACGAGTTGCGCGACATCGCAAAAGTCATTGACCATCAGCCTTGCCTACCGCACAATCTGTGGCCCCTGAAAGCTACTCGGCTCTATGACCCATCAAGGATACACAGGAAGCACTAATCAGTACTTACACCCACGCGTATTCACGCTTTTCGGCAAGACGTAAGTTCTTCTCGCGCACAGGAAGAATTGTCACGAACCTCCAGGATACTCCCTGAACAGAAAATCGCATAACGGACCTCTCAAAAGCTACTTCTTTTTCCCTTTCGGACTTTTCCCGGGCAATTCTCTCGGGTCCTACCTTCGAATCAGACCTACTTTCCATTGTGGAGGTGTCATAAAGCATTTCGCAACGAAGTATTAAGTGAGAC